TTCAGCCTTGAACGTTGAACCGGAAACCCTGTGCTATCCCATGCCGATTCCGCGGCCTCATCCTGTATATACACTAACGCTGGCCTCATGTCTTGTGGAACCGCTTGGGGACAAGGGTCTTTCAGGTTGAGAGTTTCGCAGTTTTGGCAAAGTGGGGAGGGATGAGTTTAAAGTAGAAATCAACCCATGAGAAACCGAAAGGCTTCGAATAGCCCAGTATATAGATAAGACCTATACGCATTGGCGCCCGATGTAGGTATCATTTATAGACTCGGACCCCACAGAAAGCCAAAGTAGTCCCGTCACGGGTTGGTAACCCCAAAATCCTGCACATTAGGGCGTGGGCTTCTTGGCTTCTGATGGAAGCGTTGGTAGCGCTCGAAAGGCGATGTGTAAGGATTGTATATGTATATGTGTATGTATACACATATATATGTGTATATATATATGTATATGTATATATGCAGATATTTAGATATGTAGATATGTATGTATGATCGAACTCTGACCGCGCTTCGACCGAATGATTGTTGCAAGGCTTTGCTGAGAAGACTTGTAGGCTGCATTGTTGTATGTGCTTGTGTCTTTGGGGAGAGGGGAGTCTATAAAGCATCCGCATCCGCGGGCATGTATGTGTGCTTTCTCCAGATGATATGTGATGATTTCAAGTTTTGGGCCCCAGATTTGTGCACTAAGCGGTATTCCAAAGGAACCCTATATACACTTGCCAAGCAACAATGCGAAACATGCGCGGTTCTATGAGACAGACATACTCCACTAAATGCAAATTCCAAAGACGGTGGCTCCACCCTGAGGCCCGGATACCCGGACCCTAAGCGGGCAATCTTAACTTCTGCCTTGAACCTGCAATTTCTGACTCTAGACTCCCTAAATACTACGCGGGGGGCCTCAAGCTCAAAAACAAGATCACTAAAATCAACCTGCTGAAAATCACCTGAGCCTGGAACCCTAAGCCGTCCGTTGGAAGCTCAATGGCCTGATAACCCGCAATCCCCAAACCCCAAGCCCGATTTTCCCCAAAACAACCCGAGTTCTTTACTTTAAACCTGAAACCTCGAATTCGTAACCCCCAAGAAACCTCCGCCCCAACTCTAAACACGATACCAAAACCTTGTTAAGATTAAGCATGTGAACCCTTGGAAAACTCAAGCCGCGCATGTGCTCGGCCCAAGACCGCTTGGAAACGCCGAGTTTCCTGGCGAGCTCCTTGCATTGTGGAGTGGGGGGGTGAATATAACGCTACCCTGGGGGACTATATGGAAACTCCTCTACGGGGCTCAAAGCAAAAGATTTTTTGTCATGTCTGTGTTGCGGGCAAGCCATGCAAACATCTGGTGAAAGGACCATTCAGGTCTGCACAGCTTTGTAGACAACTTTCATTCCATCCACGTCTTCTGTTACTTCAAGGGTCCGTGACCAGAAGGGCCATGATTTTGTTTTTTAAGGCCTTCCAGGCTTCCTGAAACTTTTAAGTGACCAATGCGTTGCATAGACGGCTTGGGTTTCAACATGCTCCGGCGCCATCGAGCACTGGCATAAGAGGCGGCTGAGCCTCCCGTACCTACATGTTGGATGTTCAGGCAAGGTGGAACATCCGAAAAGGGACGAGGCAAACGGTACCCAAAGCCGGCTACATGTACCTCTCACACACGCCAGACGACATGCAGGCAAACATCGCGCCAGGCTGCAAAATCTGCAAACCCAAGGCTGCATCCCCAGACGCTTGAAACCATCATCACCTCCAACGCCTGAACCGATTGGCTTGTAAAGCTCATAACTGAAGCTTCACCTCTTCGGGGGTGCATGTGGAAGCTGATGCCTTCTAACAAGGACACAACCTTGGGCTTGGCATTGCATGAGGAACTTCGAAACCCCTCATTTCTTGAAACACCCCAATGTGCATGTGCGCCAGAAGCAGCAGCCAGGACACTGCAATGCACGACTGCGAGCCACCCATGGCGAGCAGCTTATTAGCTTACTAACTGGGTGCATTGTGAAAAAACATAAAAAAGAGTCCTTGTGAGAAATCTGAACTTGGTTTTGTGTGCTTGGCGAGGTAAAAAGGATCAATTCATGCTGGGGCGAGGTAGACAAGATCAATTCATGCCGGGGTGCTGATTACCATCAAAGCGTGAACAACAGGAACAACATGCCGGTGCTTCGCGGAGTGGAGACGCGAGTACCCTCATATTCCCAGCTTACATGATCCCCATTATGCTCCCCAACAATCCCCGCCCCTAAAAATTACAAGAGGCAGTGAGCTAAGTTAAGGATCCTCGAGCTGAACTTTGTGGGATGTTGCAAGCTCCATGAAGATTAATTTGGTAGATTGTGGAAATCATGGTCCCTAATTGGCGCTCTGAGCATTAGGGGCCGTATTGTACTGGGGACCTCCAAGAAAACGTCAATTCTGCCAACCTACCGAATAACTTAGGATGTAGCTGGGGATTCTCGGCCTGATTTTAACCATGACCACAAAAGAAAAGGCACCAACATAAGCACCTGGAAATTGGTGGATTGTTGGGGCTCGTTCTTCCAAGGAGCAGTCACAAAAGCTTGCTTGGAACCTTCCGACAAAAAACGTCTCAGTCACGTTAAGATCCCTCCCCCTCCTTTCAGAAAGCTGAACCAGCAGGGAGGAGGACTCTTGGCACGGCAGTTGTGCAGAACAACACCTTGTCACCCTCTCTTCCTAAATCTGCCAAAGGTTCCTACTGCTAGACCTCAGTCCAACCACCAAGCCCCAAGACCAACAACCCAAAGTTTCACAGATACTGCCAGGGCTTGCAAGCTCAACCCCCGAATCCCGCCCCGGTGCCCGCAACTTAGAGGAGCAGGTTTCTTCAAAACCAGGAACATCACCCAATGTTAATAGCCACCAATATGGACTTCCTGGTGTTTAATTTGCCCGGTCTCTGCCTAAGAACGCCGCTATATGACTGTTACTAGGAGGATGACCCTATCAAGGTTTAGCTTTCTTCGGGGGTGGTCAGCCCAGCCCTTTGTTGAGATGCTTGCAGATGTCCAGGTCCAATGGTGACTGAGTGCACCTACTTGGTATGTCCACCCAGGACGGCCTGCGCATCCGAATGTACTCCCCACGTATGCCCCTAGAGGAGATCTTCAAGACTTCGCTCGTCAAACGTCAAACAATCATGGACGCTCAGAATGTACCCTTAATGTTAAGATTGCCCCATTTACGGCTTAACCATAAACCCTAACGCTAACCAAAGATCTACGGCTAAGGGTCTACTGAGGAATCTCCAAGGAATTGGGCCTATGTGAGCTCTGGTCTAAACTGCTAGTATCCCCCTTAGTAACCCCTCTACTACATTGTACGGGGTTAATTACAGGGTTTAGGGTTGAGGGTTGGTCTGAACTCCTAGTATCCCCCTTAATAACACCTATAATATTCCCCTATGGGGCTTATACGGTTTAGTGTTTTGGGTTTGGGGCTAGTCTGTACAGCGAGCACCCCACTCCCCTGTGGGGTTATAGGGTTTATGGTTTACAGTTTTGGTCAGTCTAAACGCCGGGTGATAGGGCAGTCTAAACTCCTAGTATCCCCCTTGAGAACACCTATAATACCCCCCCCATGGGGTTTATAAGGTTTCGGGTTTAGGGTTAGCGTAAACTCCTAATATCCCCCTGAATATCCCCTGTAATTGCCCTCTGCATAATCCCCTATTTATGCCCCCTTTAGGAATTTAGAATATAGCTCCTCTCAGGGGGGACCAAGAACTAAGAACTCTGTTGACATCCTCCAAACCTTCTTGAATCTGCTCAAGGCCCCAAGACCTCCCAGGATGTTGTCCCTTGATTTTTAGGGTGTATATGGTTTAGAGTTTAGGGTTTAGGGTTTTATGGTGTACCCTAAACCCTAAACCCTAAACCCTAAACCCTAGAGTTTAGGAGTTTAGGGTTTAGAGTCTAGCCCCTTGAGCTGGCCATGTCATAAAACGACTCCGACGTTGAACTGTTGCAAAATTCCCCTAGGGATCCAAATAGCCCAATGTAGGTAATATTTACAGACTTTAGGGCCCAATGTAGGTTTTATTTATATACTTGGATCCCTAGGGTTCGGGATTCTCTTCTAGACGAGGCACCATTTGGGGAGAGGTCGTTACGACCTGCCTAGCTTAGTGATTCCCGGTTCCAGTTGAAGATGCTTGGGGGTAGTTGTTTAGGTACTCGCTAGCAGAGCCCCCAAAACCCCTGAGCGCAGACCCAGGCACTCTTTAAGTTTAGGTCTTAGGGTTTGGGAGTGTAGGGCTCAGGGTTTATAAAGAGCCCTGAAAACCCTGAACCCTACACTCTACACTACTGCGTGGAGAAAGGAGCCCTGAAAGGGCGGAAGCAGCTACATTGACCTTCAGACCGTTGAAGCTTCTGCACGGGTTTACTATAATATAGAATAGTTTACCATGTTCTAATCACAGTACATTATAGCGATAGGGTTAAGGTTTAGGATTTAAGGGAGTTTGCTAGACCCCCCTCTCATAGCTCTTGTGTCAGCATTTAGGAAGTCCGGGTTACCAAAGTCCTCTTATGGCATTATGGTCAAACCCTCAAGAAGTGTAGGGATTTTGGCCTCTAGTTCAGCCCAAGCAAGCAAAACTACAATTGATACCCTACGTGCCTTATTCCTTGGGAAGTATGGTCTTCCATTATAAAGAAGCCATGCAAGACCTTTGGAGCCCTGCTCACCCTGCTCTATCCCTCTAAGCCCCTGTAAATAACACAGTTTTCATTTAGCTTTGGATGTGCCGAAGACCCTACTAGAAGCCGACACCCCAGACTTTAATCCCTGGACCCAAAACCTGTCCTGTATCCCCAACCCCTACAACCTATAACCCCTGACGCCTTAGCCCTCAAGTTTGCGAAGGGAAACCTTAAAGACCCCAACACCTAAACCTCTGAACCCTCCTAAACTTTATGAAGCCCAAACCTTAATCCATGCACCCTGCATGAGGGTGGGCCTCAGAGCCTGCTAAGACGACGCCCAAGGCCGCGCGCTCTCGGAATTCCACCGAGAGCCTGCGTTGTTTTGGGGGAGGTCCTGCCCCGACCCACTAACAGTCCATAATAGGGGTCATAGTTAGGGCTCTATATTTCGTTATACTATAGTGTATCCCACTGTTAATGAGTGGAGGCAGTACCCAAGGTCTAGTCATAGTGTGTAATGTAGGGGCCTGAATAAGTACCAACATCATGTTGAAGCCTATTTTAACGCATTTTCGTTTGTGGACCCACCCTCGTCAGAATTCCACATTAGACCCTGAAGGGATAGGCGAGTTGGGCCATCTTCGGCTGCTGCAAGGAAACCCCAAACTCTTAAACCTCCAGCTCCACATGAATTCTAAGGGTTTAGGGTTTATAGGGTCTACACTACATCTCGAACTCTAAGCGCTACCCTAAGAACCTAAACCCTGAACCAAAACACTGAACCTGAGGCTCTGGCGTCTTTAAAAGAGGAGGGGTCGTCTTCTTGTCGGAGAAGAAGACGACATGAGGCACCTACTTTGGCACCTACTTTGACTGCATCAGGGGTGTTCCAGCAGCCGAGAATTTGCCTCCATGGCTTGGAATTAGTGTAAGGGGTTTAATGTTGCGGCTTTGGGGTTCAGAGTTTGGAGTCTAGGGCTTAATTAGGGTTCATTGAGCTTACCGTAGGATTTAGGGGGAGGGTTCACGGTTCGCGCTTTGCGGTTTAGGCTGCAAGGCTTGGAAGCTGCGGCTTAGGACGTAGGAAGGGTCATAGATGTTGTAATTTCCTACATAAGTTATCCCAATAAAGACCTCAAAATACCTTGACCCTTTTATAAGCAACCCAAAATGGCACACCCCCACATGAACCTATATAACCACTGTCTCCCCTATATCTCCTTTGAAGGAACCCCTGATCTGTCAACTGAAGGATATTACGTTGGCATTTCAAGGCAGGTAGCCCCAGGGGAGGGAGAGCTTAAGCTACTTGCTCAGGGTTTAGGATTTCGGGTGTATGGTTTAGGCTTCAGGGTTTAGGGTTTAGGGATTCGGGGACTTGTGAACACGACAGAAAACCAGGCAAGAAACCGGGTTGAAAGTATGATGGTTATCCTAGCTGGATTTTTTCGGCTTCCAGCCTACCCTATTGCCACGAATCCTAAACCCCTAGACCCTCAACCCTAAGCCTAGAATCTGAATCATTTAGATCACGGACTGCTCCCAATAAAATGTGGGCCCCGAAGCTCTTTCCAAGCAACTTAGGACCTTGAACCCTAACCTCTACCACCCTACGCCCTAGACCCCAAAACACTACGCCCTAGACCCCAAATCCCGAAGCTCAATAGCCCTAAACCCTGAAGTAAACCCCATAAGCCCCAGAATCCGAAAACGTAGACCCTAAACCTAAACTCAAATGCCTAAACCCCGCAAAATACGGCCGTGTCCACGTTCTTGTCCATTTCCCTTTCTTCGCCTTTATAACCCTAAATTCTACATTGCTTAGATATTTCTCCCTATAGCAGCCCAAGCAGGGACCCCCGCAATCACCTCAAAGACCCTCTATATTCTATATACACGTCTTTTGGGATCCCTACGACCTACATCCCTAGGGTCCCTAAGCTCTACATCCCTGGGGTTCAGGGTTTAGGGTTCCTTAACCCTTGATCTACAACCCCCCCAAATTCAAAGACAATGCCTACTTCCTAGCAGGTCCTGCCTTATCATCAGTAGGCAGCCACCGCCGGACATCCTTCTCTGTCACAAGGACCTGACTTGAGACAAGGGCTTGGGGTTTTGGGTTCTCTGAGGGGTTTGTTTACGAAGGTACCCCTTAGGAGGACCCCCCCACCCTGCAATAGTGATATAATAGGAATATAAGAGAACCCTAATATAATCCCTATTATCCCCTATATTCACTATTACTGGGTAGGGGGGGTCCACCTAAGGTATCCCCTAATACCCGAAGGCCGAGATCCTAAACCCGTGAACGGCAAGCCCTGCATGCCCTAAACGCCAAACTGTAAACCCTAAGCCCCAGACGATGGGCCTTGAGTACTGAATGTTTGATGGGCCCCCACAAAACATAGGTTTCTTGGCCCCAATGATACCATAGGATGCTTTTTAGATCCTAAACCCTGAACCCTTAACGCCTAGGTCTGCAAACAAGAGGCCTTCACGTAATCTGCCATTACCTGCCAGAATGATTCTGAACATGCGGGTTTTAGGGGTTTTGGGCTTCAGGGTGCAGGGTTCAGAGGTTCAGGGTTTAGGGTTCAGGTTTTGGGGGCTTAAGTTTTTAGGGCTTAGGGGTTTTGGGTGGCTTTGGGTTTAGGAGTCGGGATCATGTAGGGAGTATGTGGTTGTATAGCTCATGTAGGGATTCATGTAAGGGTTCAATTGGGTGTAAGGAATAGGGTTTGGGGGTAGTGCTACTTATCATGGAGAACTGAACCAAGTGGAAAAGAACATGGAATATGAAGGGATAGGGGTTAGGGCTTTGGGCTTAAGGCTTAGGGTTCGGGGTTGCGGGCATGATGGCTGGGCAAAGTCTAGTGATTCGCAACCTTGCTCTCTTTAGGGTTCAGGATTCAGGGCTTCCGGGTTAAGTATCCCACTCACGACCCTGAAGTGAAGCCAAGCCAGTTCTGGTTTGGTTTAGGGAAGGGCCAGGCCAAAGTAAGTTCGTCTGTACCATTCCAGGTGAACTCGTTTGAAATTGCAAGGCTTTCCCTATCTTTGAGGTTTTTAGGGTTTAGAGCAGCCTTAGCTGTGGTTCCACTTACCTGGGGACATGGTCTCGACCCACCTTTTCAGCAACGCAAGAGTTCCAAAAACCGAAGCCTTCGCTGTGGATACATGGGGGTTTCCCCAAATTGGGGGTACCCTTGAAGGGGTCCCCATAATAAGGATTATAGTATTTTGGGGTCTATATTGGGGTCCCCCATTTTGGGAAACCACCACATGGGAGTTCTACTACCATCTTTATTCATCTCCTTCTTGCCTTTGCAAGGAGCAGGCCGCTGGCTGCTTCTTGGGCTTACTCTGTTTATGTAGGGAAGTATGGGGTCTATAAGACTAAAGGGGATGGAAAGAAAGTGAAAAGGTTTTGGGATTAACGGTTCATGGATATTACCTCAGTACTGGTATATAAAAAAACAAAGGAACATGGAAAATGACATGGACACTGGGATTATGCGGTAGTTTATAGGGATTAGGGTGATGGGGGGTGAATTTTCATTTAGGCAACTGAAGCCATTTCCAAAAGAAGGCAAACATATGCAAACCCGGCCATAGCTTGTATGGACAGCCTGGCCACAAGACGGCTAGTCAAAGCCTAGAGCATTTATTACCCCAATATTATAATACCCTATAATACCCTATATAGCCCCAATATTCTCTCAATATAACCCCAATATTATAGTATATTATAGTATAGTATGTTATCATATATCCCTATAAACTGCCTAGCCCTCAAACTGAGAACAATACAGGCTGCGCCTTGGAAAAACGGAGCTACGAGCTCTGACAAAAAATCCTGGGTCCTTAAGCTCCCCCCAAATATAATAGACTATTTTAAGCTAGAATAGACTATACTATAACATACTATAATACTGGGGTTATATTGGGAGAATATTGGGGATATATAGGGGTATTATAGGGGCATTATAGGGTACTACAATATTGGGTAATATAGGGTTCTGTTGCGATAATATTGAAGTTATAGAGGGGTAATATAGGGGATAATGGAAAGGAAAACGGAAACTACTATATTGGAAGTCCCAAGTGATCTCGCTGGCAACATCCCCAAGCCTGAAGACTAGACCCTGACTAAACTCTTGAAACCTTGAATGCAGAACCCTCAGCCCTTGAACCACAAACCCTGAGACCCCCAAACCTGTGAACCGTTAAGCCCAAAATCAGACAGACCACTTCCACTGCCCCCTCTATTCCTAACCAACAACAAATACTATCAAACCCTCAATCTCCCATTTTTTGGAAAATGAGACTGGTGGTAGTGAGAACACAAGTCGAAAGATGATCGTTAACAGTAATAAACATGGAAGACTATGACCCAGCCTTGGGTAGCCAGGTGGATAGCGCGTGGAAGTCTATAGCACCTGAAGGGAACCTGCGTGGGGCCACAGGCGTGCTTCCAACACTAACTGCTAGTAGGGATTTTGGGAGTCCTTTACATAATCCCGTATATAATAACCTCCCCTCAAGGAGTTTAGACATAGCTCATATAGGAATATTATATATATATATTGATTTTACGCCCTTATTCCCTGCTAACAACCAATCAAAAGAATTAGCTGAGCATCTCAGCCTACGCAGAAAGCCAAATTCGGGGCCGAAACTGCGTTGCTGTTGAGGAGCTTAAACTAAGTTGCCATGCCTATGGGTATGTAGTAGATAATGGGATTACCTTATTAAAGCAACTTAGTCTAAGTTCCTTCTCAGCAACCCAGTACATGCAGAATTCGTACCTATTCCCTTAGGTTTTTTGAATGCCTAGGATGAGATTTGTTGCGATAAGTAAAGTCATATAGCAGGATGCATTTAAGTGCACCACTTGTTTTTTGGAAACTCCCAAATGGGATGCCAGGTTCAGTTTAGTCCTACATTGAACAAGCACATAATCCTCAAAGGATCAGTAGTTTTGGAGGCTATAAGGATTATACAGAACTTACCTGGACACCTCCAAACCCCCCAAAAGTTGTTGAGAGTCCCTTGCTTTACGCACATCAGGGATCCAGGTATCCAAAACTGTAATGTGCTTGAAGTGGTGATCTGCCAACAGATGAAGCATGAAGACTTCTACTGCCGTCTCCTGATGGTCCGGGTTCCCAATTATTGGTGCTTTCGCTATGAAAAGCCAGTTAACCTAAGTCCTAACCGCTAAAGCCTAAATCCCTAACCCCACAAACCCCAAAACCAACCCTAAACCTGAAACGAACCCTAAGCCCTAAACCCCTAAATCCTAAACCGTGATCCCCTAACACCAACCCTTAACCAATAAACCTTTGTTGGGCTTGCTTCTTGCGTGTTTTCTGGGACGTCGAGGGCTTGACTCCTAAATCACGATTCTAATCACGATGTGAATTTTGGTTCAAAGTTTTTTCAGGATCCAAGGGACAGTACAGAAAAATGTTAAGGTCAAACCGATCTTCTCCGTCATAAACGAAATCGCCTTGACGTGGCCCCCTTAACCTTACTGACTGTTAGCCATTCTCTCCCAAAAGTCAGGGGTTCCTGTAGATCACCATGTTGAATGCTTAGTAGGGACCGCAATATGTTCCAAAACCCTAGAGCGAGGAAGGTGCAGAAGGGCTGACGGTCCGTTACATGTGCGGTGAGTCGAGGGGAAAAATCTCCTAAACCATATCCTACGGACAACCCCGCATTGTTTCTGTACCCACAACGGTCCCTTCCAATTCCCTGACCCTACGGATCCCAAACAGCCCAAAGCAGCTCCTATCTATAGACTTCAAGGCCTAGAGCAGGCATTAACGGCATTAATCATAGAGCAGGATCCTACAGAGTAAGCTTCACCCTTCTTGTCTGCAGAGCTGTATCTCTTTGGAGCTTTGCACGGTATGGGGTAGCGATATTCGTTTAGTTTGAGGGTGTGGACATCCTGGCAGGGACTGGTGCTTCGTAAGTGTGATGTGGCTTCTGGTTTTGAGCCCAAGCCCCAAACCCTAAGACCCGGGAAGATCAGAACCCCAAACCATTTCCTTCCTCAAGCCCTCAACCCTAAAGACTCAAACCCAACCCTGCCCTTTGAGAGTCCAGCCGTCCTCCTTGCAAAAAAATCTAAGCCTTTCAGAAAACCCCTAGTTACCTAGAAGGTACCCAAATAATGGGGTCGGGGTCTTAGGTCCCAAGTACTATATGACGGGTTTTTTCCACCCCAAGATCTAGAACAATCTGCTAGTTCAGCAGCCGATTGCCTCGTAGTCATCAGCTTTAAAGCTGTACCCTCTCCCATACTACACACCTACGTTCCTCCACGAATTGCCCTTCTAATATACTGGGTTTCATGTGAATGTAAGTGTCTAAGTGGGGGGGGTGCGTAAACGGAGCTGCAGTAAGGAGTCAAAGCTTGGTTTAGGGTTGAGGGTTAAGGGTTGAAAGTTTAGGCTTTGGGGCTCAGGGTTTGAGCTGTTGGGGTCTATTTGAAGCTGCCAGGTCAAAGCATGCAGGCACAACATTAGAGTCCTGAATCGTTTATCCGTCCTTAAGCTAACATGGAAGCCCATACAGACTCTCACTGAAAGCACAAGATTCTTTTCGGGGTCCCATGCTCAAGTTCCATGACAGCTTGGGGGTGCAACAGCCCAAACCTCTGTGCCCGAAATCTTCGCAAAAACCTCATTTTCGAGCTGCATTCTGAGCCCGCCAGCTAACTTTTGCCTCTTAGGGGTTCGTGGGTACTCATCATGTAAGTATCTTATTATTTTGGGCTATAGTTGTAATTGCCCTACCTGTAACTTCACCTAGACCTACCCATGAACCCCTGAGTAGGGTAACCTTGTACCCCTGAGGTAGGTTAAGAGGCCAGGCCATGAGATTCAACCCTTCTCCAACATATCATGGAACCTCAGCCGCTTTCAAAGGACTGTAGCCTTCATGTCTTCAAAATGCTTTGGTCTGCTCAAGAGACACTTGCCTAGGTTTGAGGTTCCATGTCAGCTGGTAGGGCCGGTACAGGTCCCTTTTGGAGGCCACAGGCCCTAAGCCCTAAACCCTAAACCCCTAAACCCCTAAACCCCGACCCTTGAAGCCATACCCTGATCCCCAAACTCTTGAACCCTAGACTCATTTAGGTAACCAATAGAGCTAGCTCGATCGCTGAGCTTATCACGAAACATGTCCACCTTTCACAGAAATAGCTAAGTAGGTAGCTTTCAAAACAAAATTTAGGATTTAGGGATCACGGTTATGCATGCTGGTACTTGTAAGGAAGGGTAGGATAGTACCTGCTTATAGACTGGGCTGTTCCCTGCCCAGGCAATAAACGTCGTCTAGAAGGTTCATGCAAAGTTGCAAGTTGCGTTGTGAGTGCCCTAGATGGGGTTGTCATTGTGGATGCCGGACTTCTAACCCTACGTGGAGCTATCCGTGAACATTCAAGTACCAAAGTGCGAGCCATGAAGCCACATCCGAGAACACGCTAAGCCATCGTGACCCCAATAATTTCTTGATGGTCCCGTACATCCCCTAGGGCCCCGTTTGTGGAAACCCTCATAACCCTAAGGGTCCAAAGACCTGACTATGGACGTTTTATGTTTTGGGTAGCAAACACCATACTCTCAATGCTTTTTTGGGGCCTGCGGCCTAAACCTTGAAGGCAACCATAGTAGGATCCTCGGAACCTTAGGGGAAGCCTTTGGCAACGTATTCGCTTGTCAAGTAACATGCGGTCTTGATAGCTTCAAATTCCAGCCCCTAAATCCTGAAGTGCATACTACAGGTTTAAGGGCGCATTCAGGGAAGGTTAAGGATTTTTTTCCCGGTTCAGGGTCTAGGCCTTTAGGTTTGAAAGTTGTTTAGGAGCATGTACCAATGCCAAACCCTCAACTAGCTGTTCCCCGACCAATCCTCACCTGGTCCGTTCCGCTATTTGCCAAAAAATAGCGTTGGAAATGGTGATTTCCCAAAAATTGGGATTCATTTTTTTCGGTGCCTCTATAGAAAGGATAATAAGTATTTGGGGTACCCTGGGCCCATAATTATGGAAACTACCAAATTACCTACATTAAAAGCTTGTCGTGAAAAACAAAATTCGTGACGCATATGCAGCAAACAACAGATTTATTGTTCGGGACTTAGACCCAGATACCCTGAACGATAACCTGAAACCTCCAATCACGGGCGCCTAGGCCACTAGGGTTGCTAGGGGCATTGGGCTAGGACCCCTAAACCCAATTCACAGACTCCTGAACCCTAAGCCTAACCTCTAAACCCTATAAACCCTAAACTCTACGCATGCGCACTCGCGTGCTCATGCAGCCACCACGGCATCGGCTCCTTGCGTTCTGCAACTGTTTAGGGTCTGGGACTCAACTCCCGGCAACCCCCTCCAGAAAAAGTTGGACCTTCAGCAGTCCTGTTTTAGCCATGGAATCCCTCCTGGACCCCCAAAAGTATGTAGAACAATGACCTTGCTGACCATTTTTAGGGGGTTTGGGCCATTGTTATGCATATTTTAGGGGTCCAGGTTGTCTTAAGGCCAGACTTGCAAAGCCTAAGCCTTAGGAAGTGTTTGGCCTAAGGGAATGCAAAGAGCCACGGGTGTTGTGGAGGGTTTAGGGTTGAGGGTTCAGGGGGCTTGGGGGGGAGGGGGCGTGAAAGTGTGTTATCAACACAGGCCCACTTATTTAGAAAAAGGGCGAATCCATAGTCTAAACACTTCCCAGTGCAGACAAGCCTGACTGTCCAGCACTTAGGCTCGTTTACATTGGGTCTCATGCCATACATGCCATACACAAAAGCTAAGGGTCATCCACTGTTCAAATAGAAGGGTCTATGCGGCCTTACATATACTGGATATGTTGGAACGCACATACACACACCCACATTTTTGTTGATACATACCTGGAAGATCACTCATCTTGGTGTTGTATGATTGTTTCACTGGAACATGACAGACTCCCTGAACCCTAAACCCTAAGCCCTAAGAGGGTCACTACCCTGAAGCCTAGAAACCCTATAGACCGTAAACCCATCCAACTGCACAATGGTTCAGCTTGCTTCTGAACCCTCGACCCTTAACTTGCAACCTTATACTCAAAACTGCTATCTAAAGACTCCCTAGAACCCCATTACCTGCAGTCTTCTGAGTGATTAAAGACCTCAAGACCGCTAGCTAAAGACTCCCTAGAACCCCATTACCTGCAGTCTTCTGAGTGATTAAAGACCTCAAGACCGCTATCTAAAGACTCCCTACAACCCCAATTACCAGCAGTCTTCTGAATGATTAAAGACCTAATAAGGAGTCGTACTTGCCATTAAACTGACTGTAGGTAGTTGAGGCTTAGCATCAACCAGATCTTAAACTTCGAAGCTCCCTGGAGCCCCAAATCCCACATGAGAATCATCCCCCGGGATCATGAAGGGACCCAC